TCTGTGGGTATTTCAATTCCCACTCCTATAAAATTAAAGTCTTAACCACTATTTAAGAAAATAAAATGCTGATTTTTAAAAACCAAAATTCTCAAAAGATAATGTAATACGTACAAAAAATTTTAAATATTCCTAGTCTTTGGCCTTTTCCCACTTTTAGCAATCTAGAAGAAAATCACAGATATAGACAAAAATACATGAGTCCCAGTATTATTTATATTGTTAAAAACGAAGTGATATAAATAACCAGTGATGGGGGATTTGACTGAATAATTATGGTATAGCTACATGATAGAGTGTTATTCAGCCATTAAAAATTATTTTCGAAGATTTTATATTCTTCCATATTTAATTTTTCATCAAACATATACACAAGGTTTGAGAAGTCCAATAGTTCTACAACAATAATAAACAGCAGTTCCCCTGCCCTTCCCCCTCAAACCAATTCCAGCTCCCAGAGACAAAATTTTTAACAGTATTAGTTGTTCCAGTGTTTAACCCCAAATTTCTAAATCATATGCTTATAGTGTTGTTTCTTGATGTTTTTCAATTTTGGATATCATCCACTGACTTTCTACAATGAAGATATTTAGCTCTTTAAATTTTTTTTTTTTTATTCTTCTCCCTGAAGCCCCCCAGTACATAGTTGTATATTGTAGTTGTGAGGGCCTCTGGTGATGATATGTGGGACGCCGCCTCAGCGTGGCCTGATGACCGGTGCCATGTCCGCGCCCAGGATCCGAACCTGATTCTAATTCTTCCTGAAGGCATTTAGATGAGATGAGAGTCTTATTTATGTTAAGATTAGATTCCTCCTTCGACTTCCTCTCTCAAGTTTACTTTCTACTTCCTTCTACAGGGACAAACGTTAACTATTCTTATATTGAAGCCCCAAAACTATGCAAATAAAAGAAGTACACCACTGAGTCATATCTGTTAAACATCTTGGTTTCCAAGAGCACTGAAGCACATGATTCAAGACAGATATCCTGCTGGGTGAGAAATTAGCACTAAAAGTGACAAACTAAAAAGACCAAAATTACACTCCAGTTTTATAGAAGCACCTATTATTACTTAAATGCTTGACGTCCCACACCTAGTTTTCAAGTCCTGCTCAACCTTGGACCGTCCACAATTCTACTCTAAGGGACCAGGGTGTAATCCTGAGGAGGCAGATCTAGAAGTGACTATAATCAATTATACTGACCCTGTCTAAAAAAAAAGCCTGTGGGAACAGAAAAGGGACGCTCTACAGGAAAGATAAGAAGAGGCTCAAGAATGCAGCATTCATTCTCCAGGAAAGAGAGACAATCAGTCTGGCAGACATAAGGATGGTATCAGCCAGGGAGCTATCAAGCGTGAGGTGAGGATGATTGGCAAGCCTTCACCTTGCCTGAATGAAATATTCGCCCAACCCAGCCAGGTATTTTGGCTCTGACTACAAGTTCACCTGGAAGCTTTCTGGTTAGCTTCTCAAATATTCTGCAACCAGGAGTCAGATGCCACAGATAGAGAACATAAGCACTCAGGCCCCTGGAAGAGAATAACCCCCCAAAGCAAATTAAAAGAGTGGCATTCTAGTTTATACAAAAGGCAATACAGTGTAGTGGTTAAATGCCCAACATTTGGAGGCATAATGGTTTCAAATCCCGACTATTATTTACTTAACTTCTCTGTGCTTTGGTTTTCTCATTAAATGAGGATATAGTACTTACTTCAAGTGCTGTTATAAGCACTGAGTTAATTTATGCAGAGCATTTAGAACCTTGGCTGGCACACAGTGCTCAATAAAACTATTATAGGTTTTCATAATAATTATTAAATATCTCTCATGTTTTTGATGTGTGAATCAAAATCCAAGCATGATCAACTTTTTTAAAAATTGTGATTTTAGACTATCAAAGAAGTGCCACAATGTAAAGTCTCGGTGGTCATGCAGGAATATATACCGTGTGTATGTGTGTGCATGTATACAGACAGGCAGGGTTGCTTTAAAAGGCAGACAGGAGACAGGTTGTGAAGGACTTTGTATACTATACCAAGAAGTGTGGATTTTATTTTATAAGCATCAAGGGGCCATCTAAAGGAAATCTCAAATGTCAAAATATAGTTAAATTTAAAACAAACTTTAAATCCAAGTTACAGAACTCACAAAAGTCAACAAGATGAGGCAATTCCAGAAAAATAGTGATGAGTGATTTCAGTATTTTAGTTGCAATACAACCTAAATTGAAATCAAAACCGAAATGTCAGTGAATTTAAATGAGCGTAAATGGAACCTCACCTCCAACCCCAATATCACAAAAGGAACAGTACATGCTGTTTCCTGGCTCCACAATCCACTTCCTCCAATTGTTGGAGGCAATGGATCCATCTGTTTCAAGCCCCTACCCACTATGACAAAGAAAAGACGGGTCCTTGTCATCAACTCCTCTGTCAATCTACGGACCTAAAACAAAATATGACACTGGAATAAAAAGTTCAGGACTCTTGGGGCTGGCCCCGTGGTGCAGTGGTTAAATGCGCACGTTCTTCTTCTTGGCGGCCTGGGGTTCGCTGGTTTGGATCCTGGGTGCAGACACGGCACCGCTTGGCAAAAGCCATGCTGTGGGAGGCGTCTCACATATAAAGTGGAGGAAGATGGGCACGGATGTTAGCTCAGGGCCAATCTTCCTCAGCAAAAAGAGGAAGATTGGCAGTAGTTAGCTCAGGGCTAAACTTCCTCAAAAAAAAAAAGAAGTTCAGGACTGCTGGATGCAAGCAACATCATATATTATAAATGCTAACATATACACAATGCAGAGTACAAATACAGCTAAAAATCGATTTCCAGAAAGTTTAAGACACAGGAACGAAAGAAGGAAAAGAAAACGCCTTAATTCAGAAGGAAAATGAAAGGCAGCTGATTTCACAAAAATGTCAAAGAGCTAACATCCTCTTTTTCCCTTTTGTTATTCTAATCTACTCTCATTTGGTGAAATCAGATAAGTAAGTTTGCTAGAACTGTGTTACAAAAATGAATGCCATCACAGGGCTCACAGAATTTTGAAGTTCATTGGCCTTAGAGTTTAGGCAGTCCAATCTTCACTTTATTTTAAAAATGAGTATACGAGGCCCAAAACAGTATTTTCCAAAGTGTACAGCCAAAACAAGAGAAGATTTTAGCTGTTATATAAGCAATAGTTATGTACTTAACAGCTATGTATTTATTACGTGTACTAGAACAAGGTATAAAATGCAACAAGACCATGGATTTCACAGATTATCAATTTGGAAGAGGATAATGTTCAAAAGAAGTCCACTGAAAATATGCGATTAAGGGGCCTGCCTGGTGGTGCAGAGGTTAAGTTCGTGTGCTCTGATTTGGCAGCCCAGGGTTCCCTGGTTTGGATCCTGGGCGCAGACCTATGCACTGCTTATCAAGCCACACTGTGGCAGGTGTCCCACATATAAACTAGAAGAAGATGGGCACAGATGTTAGCTCAGGGCCAATCTTCCTCGGCAAAAAGAGGAGGTTTGGCGGTAGACATTAGCTCAGGGCTAATCTTCCTCCAAAAAAATAAAAAAGAAAATATGAAGTAAAATAATAACAGATGATCTTCTAAAAGGCAAAACTTATCATGGTGGCATGGTTCATGATAAATGAAGTACCGACCTCTGTTCCATGAGCAACAGGATCTATTTTTTTTGTTTGTTTGCTTTCTTCTTGATTCAAAAGGTTGTGTTCTGAATGATTAGAAAAGATGTGACCTTAAGTTAAGCCAGCTTCTTACTATACTTAAGTTCTTTTAGAACAAAAGAAACAAACGCTAAGATCTATACAGAAATTCTATTGTTCACAGGAAAGAGTGTAATATTGTTAAGAAACTAACAGCACAAGTCATTCCTATTCTGGAAGTAAGATAACAGCACTTTTCTAGGGCATATCCATATATCACAAGCACTTAAAAAAAAAATCCAAAAAACCCTAGGGGGCTGGCGCCGGATCTAGTGGTTAAGTTCTCTGGCTCTGCTTCAGCGGCTGGGGGTCGAGGTTCAGATACCCTGTGTGGGGACCTAGCCCGGCTGGTCAAGCCAGGCCGTGTCAGCATCCCACATAAAGTAGTGGAAAATTGGCACAGATGTTAGCTCAGTGACAATCTTCCTTAAGCAAAAAGAGGAAGACTGGCAACAGATGCTAGCTCAGGGCCAATCTTCCTCATACACACACAAAAAAACCCCTAGCAACACTGATAAATATTTAAGCTGTAGGCTAAATTATAGGATCATTTTATTTACTTTCACATGACCTGTCAAAACAGCATGGTAATGTGAGAAGAGGTGTTTCTCCTGATTTTTGCTAATATTTATATGAATGTGGTCTTTTTCATTACCTCTTGCCAAAAGAACAAATGACAAGTGATCACTGGATGCCTTAGGCATCAACTTTGCTGGTAGCAAAAATATTAATTTTTTAAAATTTTACTATGAAATATTATAAGATTAGCTCTCAAAATATTCTAGCTAATGATGTCTCACGCATTTCAAGTGTGGTATTTTCCAGGCTAGGCAAGAACGCGGGAGAACCAGGTAAAAACAGGTATGAATGTACTTTGCTGGAGAGCACGGACTCTCCACTGACGTGAACCTCAGAAACCATCTTCCAACAACTAGTTCAGTTATCTGATCACTGTGGTCACCATACAGTCTACTAACTCCGACCACGGCAAATCTGTGGGGGTAGGGAGTGAGGGAGTGGGAGTTTACCTCTGCTTGGTTTCAAGGAAGGGTCCAGGGAACCACCATCCCGCCACCCTTCCTCAGCCGGCCCCTCGACAGGCTCCCGGCGCCTGGCGTCCTCGCGCCGGGCCCGACCCGCCCAGTCCGAGCAGAGCGGCCCCTCCTCCCCTGAAGCCCGACGCCACCAATTTTTCAACCGTCACGATATACTCTTTCTCCTTGAGACATGATCCCAGTCTTCCCCTCGGCCAGCTCCCTCAGCCCCACTCCTGAAGACTCACCAGGCAGTTCGTCACTCCTCTGCGGCCGCGGCAGCTCGGACACCCCCAGCCTGGACTTCGAACTGTTCCCTTCGTGCGCCTGCGCGCGCCGGACTCACACGCCTGCGTACTTCCCCGCGCCGAGGACACGGCCACACCCCTGCAGCTGGAGCCAATCACGGGGCGGGGGGTTTAAATCTCCCTGCCACGCAGGCGGGGAGTCTGGGACTCACCCGTTAACCGGCTGATTCGAGTCCCACTCGAAGGTGGGAAGTGTTCAAGCGACAGACATTTACGTGTGCTATGCTGAGGGCAAACTGTATGCCAGGCACCGTGCGGTGTGAACACTGAGGAAAAGAAAGCGAATAGAATGCCTTCTCTGCCCTCCAGGGTCTTTTGATCTGTCTAGACTGGGAGATAGATGTGTAAATAAATTACAGTGGATAGCATATAGTGCACAGCATATAGAAATTCCGAGGCGCTGCTGGCTCGCAATGAACACAGCGCCTTATTCTTAGGGGTGTCTAGAAAAATTCCCAGAGGAAGTGACTTTTGAATCATGAAGGATGAGCAGGAGTTCCCCCGGAAGTCCGGGAGGGAGGGAGGGAGACAGAGTCGTCCAGACTGTGGGAACAGCCTACGCCAAGAAAAACATAGCGCCTGCTGGAAATTCCTTGTAGTTCATCCTGGTTAGAGACTCAGAGCTCATCGTTTATCTCCAGGTGAAGGGAAAATAAGCTTTAAAAAGTTGGCAATGGCCAGATCTTGGGAGGTCTTGCGTTTTTGGACTAGTGAGCCTGCACTTTATACGGTGACCCCTGAGAGCTATTGAAACGTGTTAAGTAGGTCTGGGAACTCTTCCAGGCACCTCTAAGAATAAAGCACAGTGCTGGAAATTAAAAAAAAAAAAAAAAAAGTTTTAAAGGAGTAGTCTATTCCTAAGGGGTCAAGTAAGATAAGCGTGAGAAATATCTTTTGAACTTAGTAGCACAGAGATCATTAGTGATCAAAGAAAGTTAGGTATTGGAATAACGAAATTGAAAAATAGATTGCAGCAGTTTGGAGAGAGGGGGTATGCAGAACCGGGGACAGGTTGTAGAAAGCTTTTGGCAAGTTAGGCCTTGAGGGGAGGAGGGAAAGAGGATGACAAGGGGTCAAAGATTTTTGTTCCTATTTCTTGGATTTTTTGTTAGAATTAAGGCAGGAGAAACTTAAGCATGACAGGGAAGATACAACTGAGAAAAAACAGTTGAATAGTGCACAGATCAATGGAACAAAATTGAAAGCCCAGAAATAAAACCACACATCTATGGACAGCTTATCTTTGACAAAGGAGCTGAGGGCATACAATGGAGAAAAGAAAGTCTTTTCAACAAATGGTGCTGGGAAAACTGGAAAGCCACATGTAAAAGAATGAAAATTGACCATTCTTTTTCACCATTCACCAAAATAAACTCAAAATGGATTAAAGACCTAAAGGTGAGACCTGAAACCATAAGGCTTCTGGAAGAAAACATAGGCAGTACACTCTTTGACATCAGTATTAAAAGGATCTTTTCGGACACCATGCCTTCTCAGAGAAGGGAAACAATAGAAAGAATAAACAAATGGGACTTCATCAGATTAAAGAGCTTCTTCAAGGCAAATGAAAACAGGATTGAAACCAAAAAACAACCCACTAACTGGGAAAAAATATTTGCAAGTCATATATCTGACAAAGGCTTAATATCCTTAATATATAAAGAACTCTCACAACTCAATCACAAAACATCAAACAACCCAATCAAAAAATGGGCTGGAGACATGAACAGACATTTCTCCAAAGAAGATATACTGATGGCCAATAGGCACATGAAAAGATGCTCATCATCGCTGATCATCAGGGA